TCTTCATGTGTGGGTAACAACAGAAGGAGCCCAGAGCTAGATGTCAAGTTTTGGGCTCTGGTTTGGCCACCAACTAGATGGGATGATTTTAAGCTGCTTTGCCACTCTAATGTTTTCTTTCTTCATTTTTGAAACAAATGGTGATCTTGATGCCTGTAATGTCCAGTCCAGCTCTAAGATGTATGTTCCTTTGGGCTGTACATAAGTCAGAGTTCATTTTAAGGACAAGTATAACCACTTCTAAGTGACTGGGAGAAATTTTTAACTATCATCTCATTTACAATGTGTGTTAGCTGGTAATGAAGTCATCTTTGGAATAAGGTAAGCTAAAGTTACAGTGTAACACTTTATAGTCACCATAGAGGTTAATACTGTCAGCTCTAAATCAGTACTTAGATGTATGTGCCTTTGCTCTAAAACGAAGAGGCATCCAGGTGTTTGTTTTCTGTGATGTGATAGTGAATGTACTATTAGGCCTCATGAATATTCTATTTTTATATCCAAAGGCTAATTTTATGAGGGTTGGGTCCAGGGGTGTCTGGTATCCATAAAGTTAGGTTTTCAACTTTCTGACTTTGTTGTTAACCTGAGTTTAAATCATGAAGTGAATTTAACACCAACTGCTTTGAGCTTTTGACCACTTTATTGTTTGCACTAGTTTAAGGCATTTAAAGGGCATTCATATAGTAGATAAAGCAGTATATATCTCAAGGAAGCCTTCGGATTTCTAAGTAACAGATTTCCACACTGGTGGTTTGAAACATGATGTTTGTTTCTTGTAGGCCTTACCTACACAAGAAAGATCCAACAGGCAGATTGGTTCAGTTGCTATCCCACAAATTTTCTTCAGTGAGGAAATGGGTAGGCTTGTGATATTTCTTACTCAGACCAAGATTGGTGTACTGGATGGTCTTGTATGCATTGAATCAACAGTTTCTCTGTTCATTTTTATTACAAACACCATGTGCATTCTGGGCTGAATCATTTTATCACTGTACTGGTTTTCATCATCCTCAAATATATAAGGCATACATCACTATTGTGTTCCTCAATTTCCCATCCTTAAAGGAGTTTATTTCCTCTCAGGGGTCTTATATGAAGGAAATTGGTGTGTCCAGGTCTCTTCATGGAGTTTTTTGTTGTGGAGCCTGGGTTTGGGTAGAAGTGGCAGCAGCTGATGCCATATGGTAAAAGAACTTCCTTTAAGGCTAAGGAGCTTTTTGTTTCATGTGGGTAGGTGACAGGGAGCCAATAAAAGATGTTTAACAGGTGAGTGACGTGGTCACGTTTGAGTTGAAGAAGGGTCCTTCTGCAGAGAATGGCTTCAAAGATGCAGACTTGAGTGTGGCCAAGTAAGGAGCCTTGCTAATGGTCCAGGCCCAATACCATGAGGTCGCTAGAGAAGGACGGGCAGCAATTAGGAGACAAATGTGTGTACCTGCCTGCCTTCTGGGCATTGTGGGGATTTAAAACTGTTAGCTGTGCTATCTCCTCTCGGAAAAACTGCATCCTCTGTGGAACCAGTTTAGCACGTCCGTTTCTGTGGCTGAACATGGCTGAAGTAGACACCTCTCTCGGTCTCCAGCAGATTTCCTTCCTCAGTTGCTTTCTGTAACTTCCCTTTGCTCCCTGTATTCACATCTTGCATCAACCACGGGGGAAAAGGTCTCAAAGACCAACTGTGTTTTTCTTCCAACTTGTACTCTGAGCCCTCTTAGCCAACAGTATTGGCACTGCCTCACAGAGGTGGCCAGGCCCAAGTTAAACAACCTTGTTAGGAAGTCCTGCAGTCTGCCTGCAGCCTTGCACATATTTCCTCCCGGCTACTTCTGTCTGGTGGCTTGCTTATCAGGCAAGAGACTCTTCAGAGTGTGTCAGGACTCCTGCTTAGTGGGGCAGACCATTTGTCTAGGTGTGAGAGCAACAGTCTTGAGTCCCCCTTTTCATAGCTTTCAAGATAGGCACATCTTCTTGTCCCAAGGGAATGTTAGTGCATCGTTCGTTTCCCTCCCCGGGCATGGAACCTGCAAAAATCCTTTCGGCACAGAGTGCGGAGTCCTCCCGAAAGGAATTTGTCATATTTGGAAAGGTATTTTTAGTTTGTTTAAAGGAAAGTTAATGGAGGTATTCTTTGAGCATTATCTACTACAGAGTGAAAAGGCACTGCTTATTGTGAAATTGAGCTCCATGGAAGAATTTTGGTAATTCTCTTGTATGCTTGGTGCCCCTGATGTCAAAGCTGGAGATAACTTAGTCTGCTGTCAATTATCTGCACCCCACTGGACAGTGGAGGAACAAATTCTTGTAGCTGCTGTTGGGCACATTAAATGTCGTCTCAACCCCAGGACCACCCTGGAGCCATCACACACCCCAAGTGGCTGAGGGCTTCTCTGGACATGCCCTGGCCTCCACCCCACATTGTTATGTAACTGAGGCCGGACACCTTCCTCAGAAGAGTTGTGCTAGGAAGGCCAGGTGCTTGTCAGGCTACCACGTATGGTTGGACTGTGGAGGTGACCAGAATTCTCTGGGAGACTATCCTGGCCATCTGCGTGCTAGGGAGACAGATGTGTCAGTCTAGACATCTGGGTCACCTAATGAATATAAATTCCATTTACACATAGGGATTAAATATCTTAGAGTTACCCTTTCCCCATCAAACTTCTTTGACAGAGCCAAAAGAAAAATTAAAGCGATTCAGTGTTAAAAAAAAAAAAAGAAAAAGAAAAAAGGCAAACAGGTTTATAATGCATAAAGGAGTTGTTTCTTTGAAGACTCCGGGTTCCTTGAGTAGCTGCAGCGCAGCGTGTGCGGCAGGGGTGGGGCAGTTGATCTGCCAGGATTAGAACTGAGAGATTTTAATTTTAGGAATCCTGGAAGTCTTGTGACTTGTGTTAACTCTGAAACCTGAGTCAAAGGCTAGTTTGTTTTGGTAATCTCAATAGCCAAATATTCATTGAGTACCCGTGCACTTTGGGAGGGGCAGGGAGTGCACCAGGTCACTGAAGACCCATCTTCACTAAGTTGTATTCTGCTGAGGGGCAGGAGAATATACACGTGAAACTAAAGTAACAATGAAAGCTCGCACCTTCAACTGTTCACATGCTACCAAATCTAAAATAGTAGTTTATAACCAGGGGACATTGAAGAACCAGAGAAGTCAGAGACTGTTTTGTAGGTGGCATTTGATGGAGGGAGTGAGAGGGTCCTCCAGATAAGACTGACAAGACAAAGTTGAATACAAGCAGGACAAGGCTACAAGCTGGAGTTGCTATTAGGGTTGGAGCACAAACAGCCTAAGCAGCATTCACTGAGCACCTACTGTATGCCAGGTACTGTGATTGCACAGAGAGGTAGAGTGGATTAAGGATGAATGAGGGACAGTTCTTGCCCTCAAAGCAATCTAGAGTCTAATAAGGGTCAGTTAAGTTGATGGTAGAGCTGTGGAATGCAGGTTCCTGATACAGTTCACTAGCTTTGGGGATTATGGCCTGGAATGATGATGGCCTTGGAGACCAGTAAGATTCAGGATGGCCTCAGATTGCTCTTACAGTTCAGAATGCCCAGAATGTCAGTTCAGCTTTGACATTCCAGCAGAAAAATTCCTTCACACTCTTGGCTCAAGGTAGTCTCACTCAAAGCCTGCAAGCAGCCTGCTGGAAAACCAGTCCCTTAGGCTTCAGCTCCCAAAATGCCGGCACAATAGCTCAGGCAGAATGGGTTCCCGTGCTTTTCTGTCAGTTGGCACTGAAGCCTGGTGGAGAATATGGGCTCAAGTTTAAGATACTGCAACTTCTCTAGGAAGCAGCTGAAATTTGACAGAATAAAGGGGAACTGTTACAGAGGTCTGGACCTGTCTGTCTTAGGAAGGTTCCAGTCATCGCAACTTCTGGAACGAAGTTGTATTTTAAGAGGAAATCTAATGAAAGCCAATGTAGTAAGGAAAACATTTCTTATAATTTCTGTTAGGAACAAACATTCAGTTTTATTTTTAAAAATAGGACAATAATGAGTGTTTCCTATTTCTAAACACAAATGTTATGTAGAAGCTTAATGGTCTGCTTTATTTGTTTCTGAGCTTTCATGAGATACTGGTGGTAAAATATCAATTTACTAAAACCATTAAAAAATTATGTGACTACTCTGCCTCTAATTCATGCAAGTTACTCTTTTGGCAGGATTAAGTTGAATTTTAATTCCAAAACTCTTACTGAAGAGCTAAGAAGCTGTAGAACTGGTATACTTAGTGAATGACCCCACTGCAGATTAAGTGTGTGATTTGCTGTTACCAAGTGCCAGTAATATATAAAGAATGTGCTTGTGTGGGTTTGTCTGCATTTGTCCTTAAGGCTGTGCTAAGCTAGTGAGCCCTGGAATCAGCCACTGCTCCTCGCAGGGTGCCCTGCCTGGCATCTGTGTGAACCTGGGATGCTGCAGAAAGCTCTGGACTGCCCAGGTGATGGCAGAGCTCTCAACTGTGCTGATAAAACTCTGAGCGTGGCCAGCCCTGCAAACATTTGGTGGGCCTTGATGGATCCCTGGGTGATGATTTAGCCTAAGTGCTATCATACTGTTGTGTACATCGTCAAGAAAGTCTTAAATGATTTGAGTGTTTTGTGGCTTTTCCAGTAAGAGAGCCCCCCAGTGACTTTGTGGCAAAGAGAATGCCTGAGATGGCTTATAACTAGCACTGGGGCCACTGAAACTCGGATGGGTTTAGTGGCTGTAATGAAAGAAGCACTTGATAGGTGCTTAGGTCTCAGCCATCTTCCTTCAGTTGGATTTGGCTACATAGGCTTCACTCAGGGGTGATCATCTGTGGTCAGCCCTTGACTGTATGTAAATTGTCAGGGTGTTCTGAGGAAGTCCAGAAATGTAGGTTCAAAGGAACAGGAGAGGGAGAGGTAATCACTGTGGTGGAAAGATGAACAGTAAGATAAATAAATAAGCATGTTTATTAGTCTCTTACCATTCTGACTCCCTTCTCTTTCCTTTCTCAGAGAGCAGAGCTGACGTCTGATAAAGACATGTACCTTGACAACAGCTCCATTGAAGAGGCTTCGGGAGTGTATCCCATTGATGACGATGACTATGCTTCTGCATCAGGCTCTGGTAAGGCTGTCCACGTCCTCGCTCACCCCCATTCTCCACGCTTGCACACACACAAGTTCTGTTGGAACTTCCTTAGGGGAGATAGGCAGGATACACAGTGATTTAGAGCTTGCTCTTTGGCGTTGAAGTGCCCGGGTGCAAATTCGAGCTCTCTGCCACTTATGCTATGAGATCCTGGAAATGTATTTAACTTGGCTGAGCCTCAGTTTCCTCATTTATAATATGGAAGGTAATAATAGTCCCTACCACATAGCTTCCTTGTGAGGATTAACGGGGTTGACATATCTATAGCTCTTAGTGTTTGGTGCCTGACATGTAGTCAGTGTTCTGTCAACAATAACTTTTAGTTTTATTATTAAGGCTTTCAGAGTGATGTCATGGAAGCCAACCTTAAAGAAATCCCGCAAACACTAGTTTTGTAAAACCACCAGCCCTATATTTAACGATTATAGGTGAGATCAAAGCAAGTCATAAGGCCAGCACAGATTGCACCTCTTAGTAAAAGGAGCTACAAAGTCACATTGCAGAGGAGGAATGAAGGATTCTGGCATTTTTGCAGTCTGCCATACCTGGTAAACATTTCACCTGTGTCAGGAATGGCCCCCAAGAAGCTGAGAAAGAGAGCTTGTACATATGTTTAATTAATGATCAAGTCAGGAATTTGTGGTCAGCAGTATGGTAGGAAAATCTTACCAAAGACCTTTCTTGCTTTTGGTTTTCACTGTAGATTCAACAGATAGTAAAAGTTATGCTGAACATACATGTCCAGTAGTCAAATTGGCCTGGGTTCAGGATGACCAAAACAAATTAAAATCAATTTTATCTTTGGTAGAGGTCTAGCTATATAAGGGTGATTGTTTTAAGTTGATAGATGGCAAGTCTAAGAGAGACAAGAGAGGTGGTGGCTGACCTAGTAACAATGAGCTTACAATGCAATCTTAATGTAAAAAATAGCACTAGTTATTCTTGGGAAAGTGATATATATCACACACACAGAATGAGTGTGGAAGGAGTTGTTCTCCATAGCCCACGACTCTATTAATATCTTTCACTCATGGCACCTTTTTTTTTATTTAGCACCTCAAAAGTGCTTTGTAACTATCATCTTAAAAATGTCCCAGGAAATAATAAACATGGAAACTTTTTTGTCCCCATTTCACAGATGTTAGAATCCATGAGTTGTTACATATTTGTAGAAGTTGTCTGAGTCATTTTGCTGATTTATGCCAAGATCATCCTTAAGATGATATAAAGAAAGCGAGTACACTGTCTTGCTTTTCTGCCGGTCCTGGAGTGGATTTGGGGTTTGGAGTGGATCCTTTGAAATCCTGAACCCATAATCAGATCGTTGATAGAGCTGACACATAAATGTGGGCCCACATAGATTCTGTCTTGGCTCCAGCCTTGGGCAGATCATTGCTGCAAAGAAGTGTATCATTCTGGAGTTTGGAAATCCCCTTGCCCTACACTTGGAGTTTTCAGCTTAAAAGTAGTAGAAGTTGTAACTAAAATTTGTAAAGCATTTACTGTGTGTCAGGCACTGTTCCTATCTTCATAACATTTCTATAAGGACAGATTCTATTTTTATTTCTATTTTTCACATGAAAAACCTGAGGCACAGAGAGATTAAGTAACCCGCTTTAGATTACACTGTTAGACAATAGTGCTGCTGGGATAGGAACCAGGGAGCTGGGCTTGAGAGTGCGCCCTCTTCCCTTCGCTGTGCTGCCTCCTGGTGTTGCCAAATCCCACTCTAGCACTAGGAGACCCCGTCTAGCTGATGCCCATTCCCAGATGGATACTGGGGTCCCAGGATTTTGGTCAGTGTTCCTTTGCCCTCACTCCTATCAAGCTCTCCAGTGAAAAAGCAAATGGACTGGATAAAAATTGACCAAAGGCCCAGAGGGTTTCTCCCAGGTAAGGAGATGGGGTTATGATGTACATGTGAACTCAAGGATGGGCATTAGCAAATGCCCATAAGCAAAGTGACTTAACCAGTCACTTCAACATTCATAGGCCTTTACTGTGTGCCAGACATTAGGCTGTGTTCTTGAGCTATGGAATCAGAAGGACTTGGTCCTTACCTTTAAGGAACAAAAAGTCTTAGAGAAACATAGAAATGAGAAAAAAAAAATTGTAACACTGTATCATGGGTTACAGTAACATAGGGAAGTGCAATATAACAAAAATGTCAAAGGTAAATGTTGAGTTCTGGTTAAAGGTAGAAGATTGAACGCACATGCCTTCCAATATCCAACTAAACTGACAATAAAGGAGTTGGGCCCAAACTTACAAGGGCAAACAAAACAATAGAGGGGACAAAAGCCACAATGTTTTGAAAGCTGGGAAGCAGATGGGCCTGTGGTAACAGACTTGGCAGACATGAGAAAGCTGAGTTAGCCAACAGTGGCGATGGGGGCAAGGGGAGCCAGGAGGCAGACCACTTAACACAGCAGAATCACCCTGGGGCCCAGGAATTGGTGGCACTAGATGGAGGGTGAAGGGGGTATTAAACTCAGGATGATTGTTTGAAAACTGTTTAAGAAGCAAATATAGATTTCCTGATTCCTTCCCACATAATGTACCAGAGGGACTCATGTTTTCAACCTCAGAAGAAAACCAGAGGTTTATCTGGAGAGAATGAGAAGAAAACAGTGGGTCTTAGGACTGGGAGTGCACCAGCACAGATGGGGCTGTTGGTACCATACTGAAAACTGGGAAAACAAGTTCTTAGATTGACTTATTTAATGGTGAAATATTTCCAGCTGTCTTTTCCCAGTTGGTTCTCAGAACGCTGTCAGTCTGGCCTTTTCCCTCCCTGGGGAATTGGACCAACTCAAAGCAAGCAACTCCAGTGGCATTGGGAGCTTTCCAACAAAACACACAGCTCCATCTTAACTGATGCTGCGCACATTTGACGAACTTCTCCTGTGTACTCAGAGCCTCTGGTCAGCTTTTCAGTGTTTCCCTCTTAAATTTGAAAAGACAACCAAGACTCCCCCAGACACTTAGAGAAAACTTGTAACAAAAGATAGAGGCCTCTCCACACCCCTAAAATTGGGAGAGGACAGAAGCTCACAGGGAGAAGATAATTTGCAGAAAAACATACTAAATATGGAGAGAGAAGAAGATGCTTTATGGTGAAACAAGAAGAGGTACTATTAAAGAAAGAACATTCTGGGAGTGCAGAAGAGTCCTTGGAGAGTGGAAGTATCATGTCAGATCTGAAAAACTACTTAGAAGATAAGATGATATGAGGATATTTATTCATTCATTCAGCAGGTACTTATTAACCATCCACTATGTGGGGAAACAGACACCATTCTATGTGCTAGGAATACTTTAGTAAATAAAATCTAATATGGTTTCTCTGGTGGAATACTTTTATTTATTCCTTTCTGTATTTCTGTGTTCCCAAATTTTATTCATGAAAAAAAATTTTAAACATACTCTTTTAAAAAGTAGAAGAAAATCTTACCTTTTTTTTTTTAAGAAGAGATTCAGTAAACAGTGGGAACATAGAGAAAGAAAGAGCTCCATGATGAAGAGGAGGTCGGCTTCGATTCTGGGAATGTGGTAGAAGCAGGGGTTGTACAGTTGGCAGCGGGCTCTGGGGTAGGGTGTCTTGGGCAGAGAGGTCAGTGAGAGCTGGAAGTTGGGGAGGAAGGAGCTGTCACCAGAGGGGCTCCCCGGGTCTGGCTGGGGCAAAAGGGTCAATCTTTTTAATAAAAATAACCAATACAGTGGAAGAGCCACCTGAGGCAGATCGCTCTTCTGTCTTTAGCTTAAGAAGTACAAGCTTGAGGGAATTTTCTACTTTACAGAGTGTCTTCTCTCATAATAGATTCTCCACACTTCTAGGTTGGTGATTGATATTTGTAACTGTTGGGAATCAAGGGGGCTTGAAAGCCCTTAATTGAAAAATTTTCATTTCTTACTTGAAAATGTTTTTTTGTACAAAAATGATTCATTGGAAGCAAATCAAACATGTGTAACACCTTGAGGGAAGTCAGGTAAGCTGACAGAAAAGAGCTGTGTACTTCCAGAGCCATCATTATTAATGACTTATTTACATAGTATTTTGTATGCACAGAATGCTTTCAAATGTCTGTCACATTTATATCACATTATTACCCCCATTTTATAGATGAAGGCCAGCATTACTTGCTGAAGGCCACAAACCTAATAAATACCAGAGCCAGTATTTAGTTTGGTTGTTTAATGTCAAATCCCACATCTATTCCAATATACTCTACCATATCTTCTCTGCAGAAGGAATATACATGCTGGAGCTAAAGGGACTGTTGATATATTAAAACATTAAAAACTGAGCCACAGTTATGGCCATTGTACTGTTTATAGCATGTTGCCTCTTACTTTCTAAACTACTTAGTATGTTAACATGATATTGTGAGGAATTTGAAGGTATTTATAATTTCTTCCTGTCTGAGGAAGTGAGTTACTTTGAGTTTTTACAAATTTGACAAATGATTAACTTAAAAAGAATGTTGTATTTGAATGTCAGAAATTCTCAAATGCTGTTCTGGTAAAAAGGCAAAAAAAATAGTGCCCAGGTGGCAGTTGGTGGTTAGTCACTCATTGAACAAATACTGGGTAGAGCCAGTGTATGATAGGGACTCTGTTAGGTGCTCAGGCATCAAGCCAGATGCACCCTCAGCCTATGGCACTTCCAGTCTAGTGGGGGAGAGCTAAGGCAGTAGTTATACAAATAAATATGATTACAAATTTGTGGTAAATGCAATTAAGGAAGAAAGACGCTGCTAAAAATCACTTAGCAGAGGGCACCAACCTGATATGGAAGGGAGGCCTTCCCCTGGGAATGACCTCTGTGCTAAGGTCTGGGGCCCTCAAACCAGCTGAGGGCTCCTGGCGGAGGATCAGGAGACCATGGCTGGAGCACAGGGAACAGCAGGGAATGTGATGCCCAAGGAAGCTGGAAGGTAGGCCAGGGCCACACTGTCCAAGGCCGGGCTGAGGCACTTCACATTCATCCCAAAAGCAGTGGGGTGCCGTGGTAATAATTTTAAACATTATTAAATGTTTAACGATGATGGAGTCACAGCCAGTTTGGGGTCAGTGGCCTGAAAGGGGTCTGTTAGGAAGAAGTCAGGTATAGTGGTTCACGGAAAGATTACAGTGGCTCGGATGAGGGTGGTGGCTGTAGAAGGGTATTAGAGTGGAGACATATTAAGGTAAAATCAGTGGACCCAGATCATGGATTTGATCTGGTGTAAGGAAGAGGGAGCCAGAGTTGTGGTTTATAGGAATGGAAGGTTCCATTCACTACAGGGTAACATGGGGAGCAGACCAGGTTTGTGGGGAGAGAGGAAAGGAGATCATAAGTTCTGTTTTAAACAGGTTGGAGGTATATAGTACCTTTGAATCATTCAGGTAAAAGTGTCAAGTAGGCTAGTAGATACATGCGTCTAATTTCAGAGGAATGGTCTAAGCTAATGATGCAAACCTAGGCTTTGTGTGTATATAGGTAGTAATTGAAGCTATGAACATGAGTGCAGGAGAAAATAAAGGGTAAGAAGAAGCTTATGTTGAACCTTAAGGAACTCTGTTATCTGGTGCACGGGTAGAAGAGAATAAACCTACAAAGGAGAATTAGAAATAGCCACAGGGGTAAAGGGAAAGCCAGGAAGTCAGTCACAGAAGCCTCAAGATATTATGTCAAGAAGTAGCTGATAGTTGACAAGTGTCCAGTGGTGCTAAGAGGTTTGGTTATGTGAGGACCACCTCTGGAAAATGCCATTGGATGTGGCAGTGTGGAGGACATTAGTGACCTTAACAAAACAGTACAAGAGTGTGATGACAGGGAAAATATGACTGAAGGCAGCAGAGCAGGGAGAGGAGGAAGTGGTGAGTATCCCAGCACCTTTGGAAAATCTGGTTGTGGAATGGGGGGAGAGGGAACCAGCCTACCTCAGGTCAAGGGTCAGCTGTTGGAGAGCCTGCCTTCTTTTTTTATTTTATTTTATTTTATTTATTTTTCATTTTTTTTATTTTGGTATCATTAATCTACAATTACATGAGGAACATTATGTTTACTAGACTCTCCCCTTCACCAAGTCCCCCCCACATACCCCATTACAGTTACTGCCCATCAACATAGTAAGATGCTGTAGAGTCACTACTTGTCTTCTCTGTGTTGCACAGCCCTCCCTGTGCCTCCCCCCACATTATACATGCTAATCTTAATGGCCCCTTTCCCCAACCCCCCATTATCTCTCCCTTCCCACCCATCCTCCCCAGTCCCTTTCCCTTTGGTAACTGTTAGTCCATTCTTGGTTTCTGTGAGTCTGCTGCTGTTTTGTTCCTTCAGGTTTTTCTTTGTTCTTATACTCCACGTATGAGTGAAATCATTTGGTACTTGTCTTTCTCCATCTGAGCCTGCCTTCTTTGTTTATTGTTGTTATGTGTATTTTAAAATGGAAAATGTATCATGTTGCTGTGGATAAGGGAAAATATCTCATGAGCATGAGAGATTGAACCTGTAAGTCAAAGGGCCACTGAGAGTGTTCAGGATAATGGTACAGGAAAAATTGCCAAGCTGCCTGCAAGTGCACTTTGAAATCCTTCATCACAGAAAGACTGCAGGAAGATCTGTGCTGAATTCTTGAAGAGAGGGTAGTTTGAAAGAGCCTGGCTCTGTCAGTGTCACCCTTAGAGTTGTCTGATAATGTAGGAATCTGTGTCGTGATTCATGCACTCAGCTCATCTCTGCATATGTTCCTAGGAGCTGATGAGAATATAGAGAGTCCAGAGCTGACAACATCTCGACCGCTTCCAAAGATTCCATTCACTAGCGCTGCTCCAGAAGTGGAAACCACGACGCTGAACATGCAGAACAAGGTACCTGCTCAGACGAAGGTGTGTTTGGTTTTGCACTGCATTATCGGCATTGGAAATGCTCCTTTTTTAAATTGTACAGTATGTTCCTTTTAAGAAGCTGTGTTTAAAATTATGTGAGGTTAGATGCTCTTCTCATTATATTACTGTAAATGGCTCTTTGCTATTTATGATCTTTTTGACATCTACCCACCAATTTTTGTTATTGTTATTAAATAGACTTTGTTTTGCAGAGCAGTTTTAAGTTCATAGCAAAACTGAGTAGGAAGTACAGAGAGTTCCCATATACTCCCTGTCCCCCTGCTGCACAGCCTCCCCCACTATCAACATCCTGTGCCAGAATGGTTTGTTCCAATCATTGAGCCTGCACTGACTCAGCAGTATCACCTGGAGTCCCTAGTTTACCTTAAGGTTCACTCATGGCCCTACACATTTTGTGGGTTCTGACAAATGCATAATGACATGTATTTACATACATTACAGTATCATACAGAATCACTTCACTGTCCTTAAAGTTCTGTTTTCTGCCTCTTCATCCCTCCTGCCTTGCGACCCCTAGTAACCACTCGTCTTTTTGCTGTCCTTGTAGTTCTGCCTTTTCCAGAACATCATACAGTTAGAATCATAGGGTAGGTAGCCTTTTCAGATTGGCATCTTTCACTAAGTAATATGCATTTAAGTTTCACCTATGTCTTTTCATAGCTTGATAGCTCATTCTACCTACCACTTTTATCCTACAACTTTTATTCATCTATAAGCTCCCCAACTAGCTTGTATGTGAATACTTTTTACAGGGTGCTCCTTCTCAAGGAACTCACAGCTCTTGTTAAGAAGCAAAACCTTTTCAGTTTATTTCACTTAAGCCAAGAAAATCTTTCATTTCATAAAGAATTTGTTCTGAGTTAAAACCACTGTGATCTTTACATATGCTGAATCAGAAAGTGACTCCAGGTACTAGTTTCAATAAGTTATTTCTCAAAGTCTCCTCATGCACCCTCAGTACTATATAAACTTTGACATCTTTCGTTGGTCATGATGAATGTAGGTGCATCTTTATACACTTGACCCTTGAAAACTGGGATTAGGGGTGTGGCCCCCGGCATAGTTGAAAATCTGCATATAACTTCTGACTCCCCATAAACTTAACTAATACAGCCTACTGTTGACCAGAAGCCTTACCAATAATATAAACAGTTGGTTAACATATATTTTGAATATGTATGATATACTGTAGTCTTATAATAAAGGAAGCTAGAGAAAACAAAATGTTCTTTCAAATTATCATAAATCTCTGCAAAATTTTCTAATGCATTTATTGAAAAAAAATCTGTAAAAGTGGACCCAGGCAGTTCAAACTCATGTTGTTCCAGGGCCAACTGTATATATTGCTTTTGAGAGCTGACTTATTAAGAAATAAGGTCTTTGGCCTTAGAATAGAGCAAAGCTACTAGCTAATGAAAACCATTAGACTGGTGATTTTGGCTTTATCAGCATTATATTGCAATTAGCTGACCACCCACCACTAGGTAAGTTATTTTAGTTAGAAAATGCATAACAAGGCCTCAGTTTCAAATCCTCGATCTGGCCAAGTTTCTCTGAGCCCATACTTCATGGTCCTTGAGAAGACTAAATTTGAATGCATGTAGCATGTTGCTTGAGACCGAGTAAAAATTCTGTAAGCCTTAATTGAGTTTGCTTAGAGCTGTAGAGAACAAAGCAATTCAGCAAACGAGCATATGTAATAACTGCAGTAGTAGACTTTGTAGACAGTCCAAGGGTAGCATGCTGCTTATGAAAACTTAGACACAAAAGTGTCTGCTTTTGGAGCTCACCCATTTGTTGGTTAGAAATAAGATGCTGCCAAGATTTAACAGCAGACAGGATGTGCAAGGCTGTGTCATGAAGGCATTGATGAGTCTTTTCTGGAGTAAGAAGAGCCCCTTTGCAGGAAGGAACACAGGCAAGCTTTCTGCCCTTGCATTTTCCTACCTTTGCCAGAGTGCATTTGTTCTTCCCATTTCCCCTGACCTCCTCATGCATGAAACAAGGTGGTGATGACCTACTGGATAGGCTTCTGCAGCCAGGTCAACCTTGAAGTCAGCAACCATGAGGACCCACTGGCTTGAGGCTAGAAACTCTGTGTCGACTTTCAGTGATAAAGTTATATCCTAAGCAGAACCTAATTTGATTGAGTTCTGGCCAGTTGATAACAATGGGTTAAAAATTGACTTGCATTTTTAAAAATTTGCTTTAAACAAGTAACAATGTCAGATAAAAATACAGAAGATACATACTTGGCAGAAGAGCTCAGAAATTAAGGGTCCCAAAGCATTTTAATATATTTATATTCCTGGTATCATTTTTTCAATGTAGTAGTAATAAAAATTCATTCATTTGTGGGAGATTTATTGAGTGCTATTTATGATGTGTCAAATAGTATTTTAGGTACTGATAATGATGATGTTGGTAATGAATAACAGTAATGGTGATTAAATTTTCTATTTTGCGGTTACATGGTACAGCCAAATTAAACATTGCCTCTTGGATACCATTAATGTAGACTTTGCTTTTGAATGAGCCTCACAGTGGCATTAATGTCACCATTATAGATATTCTATCTAGTTTGTTGTACATTTATGTGACAAAACTAAAAAGCACAGAGTAGAACATAGCTCGTAATCTTTTACTTCCATTTTATTTTCATGGCATCCAAACAGCCATACGTGGATGTGACAGATCCTTAATTGGCTTCATTTAATCATCTCTGCTGCCTTTTTGTGATTTCATTTTGTACATGTATACAAGAGTTAATGTGTTTCAGAGTCTTTTTATACTGTAGGAAGAATTCTTTTTAGTCAAACCTCTGCTTCCAAAGAGCAAAAGTTTTCCGCTTAGAGAATGAGTGGAAGCTTGTGCACTGATGGAAGTGCATAGTGGCCCCAGTTCTGTGGAGATCTCCTGTATTCACACCCACAGACCCCTGAAATGCAAACTCCTTCCTGCCTGCTGGATCAGAAGCTGAGTCTGAGGGAAATGAAGTATCAGCTCTCTCAAATGATTTTAGGGACTCAGAAATCCAGGAGGGAAATTCTGTGATTTGTCATAATAATGGGACAAAGATGATAAGGGTTAAGTTAAGCTTAGTCTCTAAGATCACAGTAGCTACTTCTGTCCATCGTATTCGCTACCAGAATGTACCTCTTCTCCTTGTCACAAACCTGAGTGCTATCTAACTTGTTTTCTCATCTCTTCCCCAATCTCTAGTGAAAGTGCCAATGAGCAATAAAAAGGTTCCTAGAGTAGAACCCAGATCGTCCATTCTCCCATCTGTTGAGTTGTTTGTCTTTCCAACAGACAACCAATTAGTGGTGGGCTTTCCATGAGAAGAATGGAGAAAACTCAGGCAACAGACTGCCCTGGAGCCTCTCTCTTTGGCTTCACTATGGTATCTGAGGTCCTGGGAAGATCTTTCATGTTTTCTTCTCTTACAATAACATAGAGAATAGTGAAATTTTAGGTGCATGTTGGGCAGCAGTGGTGTGATAATTTCTCTGTGGCCTCCACTTTTTATAAATCATGGCAGGTTGGGGTTTAAGGCAGTGCAGGGTTTTCTGCAGCTTCAGAAGATAAGACAGCCATTCTTCCTCACACATCATTATGCCATCTTCTGTGGAAGGCTAGTGTTCTGTTCATTGAAGCAGGGACCTACTGAACTCACTCTGGAGTTCAGATGGATCTACCTGGTATAACTAGTGATCCTTCCTAGAAATGCTAATGATCTTAAAGCACCCCAAAAAGGTCAGGTCTTTTTTTTTCATTTTATTTATTTTATCATTAATTTACAATTAAATGAAGGACATTATGTTTACTAGGCTCCCCCCTTCACCAAGTCCCCCCCACACACACCCCATTGCAGTCACTGTCTATCAGCGTAAGATGCTGTAGAATCACTATTTGTCTTCACTGTATTGCACAGCCCTCCCCATGCCCCGCCTACATGCTAATTATACATGCTAATTATAATACCCCCTTTCTTTTTCCTTGCCCTTATCCTTCCCTTCCCACCCATCCTCCCTAGTCCCTTTCCCTTTGGTAACTGTTAGTCCATTCTTGGGTTCTGTGATTGTGCTGCTGTTTTGTTCCTTCAGTTTTTCTTTATTCATTTACTCCACATATGAGTGAAATCATAAATGTTACTGTTAGTGGTGGGCTGACTTCACAGGCCAGGCAGTAGGAAAGCTAGAAAGTATTATGCTCAGTGAAATAAGCCAGGCGGAGAATTCTTTGCCTGGCTTATTTCACTGAGCATAATACCCTCTGGCTCCATCCATGTTGTTGCAAATGGTAGGATTTGTTTTCTTCTTATGGCTGAATAATATTCTATTGTGTACATGTACCACATCTTTATCCATTCATCTACTGATGAACATTTAGATTGCTTCCATTTCTTGGCTATTGTAAATAGTGCAGCAATAAACATAGGGGTGCATCTGTCTTTTTCAAACTGGAGTGCTGCATTCTTAGGGTAAATTCCTAGAAGTGCAATTCCTGGGTCAAATGGTATGTCTATTTTGAGCTTTTTGAGGAACCTCCATACTGATTTCCACAATGGTTGAACTAATTTACATTCCCACCAACAGTGTAGGAGGGTTCCCCTTTCTCCACAACCTTGCCAACATGCGTTGTTGTTTGTCTTTTGGATGGTGGCCATCCTTACTGGTGTGAGGTGATATCTGGTGGTTTTAATTTGCATTTCTCTGGTGATTAGGGATGTGGAGCATCTTTTCATTTGTCTGTTGGCCATCTGAATTTCTACTTTGGAGAACTGTGTGTTCAGCTCCTCTGCCCATTTTTTAATTGGATTATTTGCTTTTTGTTTGTTGAGGTGCATGAGCTCTTTATATACTTTGGATGTCAAGCCTTTATCGGATGTGTCATTTACGAATATATTCTCCCATACTGTAGGGTACCTTTTTGTTCTATTGTTGGTGTCCTTTGCTGTACAGAAGCTTTTCAGCCTG